AGAGACAGTAAGAGCAAATATAATTAAATCATAGTAAGTGCTTTGCATAAGGGATTTATCCAAAATTAGATTTCAAACTATTAGAGTCTAAATCAAATTCAGTTTTGCTTGGTTCAAAGATTTTTTCCCCTTTATACTTTATTTTAGTTTCTGGGCTTCATATAAAATTTAAACTCAAATAGCTCTAGTCACTACCAATATTGTCATTCTCAAGTTTTTGTTTCAAAATTATCATTTTTCTACAGCTTATCTATATCTAGAAGTCTTATTAATAAATTTGTAAATTAATTGTACAGATGCATTTAAAAAAACTCATGAAGTCATTGTGATACTGAAATAAGAAGTACCCTTAACATCTTCATGCTTTAATTTATCCAATTGCCACTCTTTTTCATCTCCATGAGCCCCTTTATTTTTGCCCATCCTGATCTCAGATCCTGCCCTTCACAGGAAGCTGTGCTCTTTGTAATTTCTAAAACTAATCCCAGTCTTTCCATATTTAGTAATTTCTTATATAGTCAAGTTTCTTTATTCTAAATAGAATACTCTGATTCCTCTGTTTCACTATTATCTGTTTCCCTTCACCATTAAAATAGTCAGAACCCATTGCTTTCAGTTTTAGTTTCCCCATTTATTCCTCAATTTATGACGACAAATTCTCACCTCTGAAGTTTAAATTGCCCAAACAAATATCATCCAATCTAATGATCACAAAAGTCAATGCTATCTTCTAAATTCTGACTTCGTTTTGAGATTTGGTGTAACCGGTTGGTCTCAATGTTAATTCTCCTCTAGCTTCCATATCTCATCCCAATCTTTTCCTATTTGTATATTTTCTCTCTTCAATTGTATCAAATTTAACTATCCCTTTCTAAATTTGTTCTTCTATTGGATTCTACGATCTATTGTCTTCTTTTTCTTCTATACAAATTCTTTGTGTATACATATACACAAAGGTCACATAACAAGTCCTAATTTTTCTCATTGAACTACACTTGTATTACTAATTGCAATTGAGATATTTCCACATGGACGTTCTAGAGACACCTCAAAATGAACCCATAAAAACCAAAAATGTTTGCCTCACTTTTCTCTCAACCAGTTTCCCTCTATTAAATAGATGATTGGTTTTTTTTTCTTTTTTTTCTTTTTTTTTTTTCTTTTTCTTTTTTTTTTTTTTACCAATATACTCTACAAGAACAATTCAGAGGGGAAAAAAATGTTTATTCTTATTCAAGGCTCATAGGCTAAGAGGTTTCAGTCCACAGATGTCTAACTTCATTGCTCTGAATTTGAAATAAGACAAAACATCATAGCAGAAGTACATGTCTGGTAGAAGAAAGCAGCTCCAGGCTTGCCAACCAGGAAGGAGAGAGACAGTTCTGCTCAACAGGCACAAAATAAAAACCCTAATGGCACACTCCAGTGACCTCCTTCCTCCAGCCACACCTTACCTGTGTACATTATCAATCAAGTAATCCATTATCAGTGAATATGATTATGTCATAACTCTCAGAACCTAATCATTTCACCTCTGAATATTCTTGTATTTATCTCACACAAGAGTTCTGGGGGGAGAACTCACATCTAAACCATAAAAGCAGACCTGCAAGGTGGTATACAACTGTAATCCCAGCTCCTTAGGAGGCTGAGGTAGGAGGATCACAAGTTCAATTCAGTCTCAGCACCTTAGTTAAGACCAAATGTAATGATACCCTGTTTCAAAAGAAAACATAAAAAGAGCTGGGGATGTGGCCCAGTGGTAATATGCTTTTGAGTTTAATACCAGGTACAAAAAAAAAAGAAAGAAAAAAAAGAAAGAAAACCAAAGAAATAGCTATAGCTTTTCATCAAAGTTCTTGAAGAAGAAAAAAAAACCATACAATTTAAAGGAGAAAATATTTAATTTGCCCCTTGGTTTTAATCTATGATCAGCTGTATCAAATTCTCTGAATTTGGGTCAAGGCAGAATATCATGGTGGAAGGGTATGGCAAAGGAAAGATGCTCACATAGTGGTACTCAGGAAACAGTGAGAAAGAGAGAAGGGTCAGAAGCAATATAGAGTCCACAAAGGCATTTCCCCAAGGGGCTGCTTCCTTCTATAAGGTTCCAACTCCAACAGTTTCCAGCACCTCACAACAGTCCATTTGCTGTGATTCCATCAATGGATTATTCAACTGATGAAGTTAGAACTACCATGATCCTATCCCTTCCCAAAAGATTCACCTCTGAATATTGATGCATTGAGAACCGAGCCTTCAACACAAAACAACTTTGGAGTCTTCAGATCCAAATCACACCACCCATTAAAATGTATGTTGTATTATAATACCTATTTTATTAAAGACAGCAGGTATGTGGAAGCTTCTCATTATGTCCTCCTGGTAGACTCTCATCTATTATAATATGAGTGGAGAGAGCAATGCCATGGGTGTCTCATTCCAGCATGGAGTCAATATACAGAAGGTAATATTATCTATTCCATAAATAGTGTAGAAGCCATCTGTCAAGCATTTATTTTAAATTTCAACTGGGAACTCATGACTATTTCATAAAATATTTATCATATTTTCTGATGTATTATTGATATTTTAATTTTCTCTGAGGAGTATTAGTTTTCCTTTGATTATTGGGCATAGTATAGTTTTATGTACTGGAAATAGATTAAGTACAGATCTAGCACCCTCAAATTATTATTATATTATGTGGAAAAATAAAAGGTGAATCTTACCAGCATGTATATCCACAAGACTGGGAAACTAATTAGCATAAGATACATTCTAAGCTTGTATAAATATATCAAAATGGATTCCACCGTCATGAGTAATTATAAAGAAAAAAATTAAAACATTTTAAAAGGGAAATTTAAATATTAGTTAAAAATTTTTAATACTCCTAAGTAAGCTTTAAGTTCATTTTGGTCATTTAATTGTCCATATGTAAATGAATACATTTATATAAATGGATACAGTGATGAGAAATATTTTCCAAGGCGGAAGGAGACAAGGAGTCCATGTATCTCAGTAAATAGATTCAGCCTCCTTTATACCAACAAATATTTTAAGTCAATGTACCTTTGTCATGTATCATCACATCTGGAAGGCTTATTAAGATATATATTGTTATCACCCACAGCAGATTTTTTCTTTTAGTATGTATAAGGTTGAGCAAAGGGTTTTGCATTTGTAGTAAATTTTCAAGTAAATCAGCTGCTACTCTAGAAACCATGATTTTCTAGTGAATTTCTAGAAATATTTTTAAAAATTCATTTTAGAACACAGTAAATGCAGATAGTATTAATAATATATCCACATTACAATATTACTTATTTTAACACTTGCATGCCAAGAAGACTAAGAGAATAAGTGTTTAGTGGTCAAAACAAAACAACACAGATGGGAATAATACTGAAAACAAAATCTGTCATAATAAGAATTTTATGTTTGATTTAAAAAGTGCAGAAAAGTTCTGATAACTTTCAAAATATATTTCACAAAAGTCCCTTATAGTATAGATGTAAGAAAGAAAACAATCAAAATAAATACTAACTCTAAATGATTACCATATTTGTTACTTTGAACTACTTTTATGTGGTATAATTTCCTTTTATTTTTTTTGGCTTGGTACTGGAGATTGAACTCATTGGCATTTGACCACTGAGCCACATCTCCAGCCTATTATCACTTTATTTAGAAACAGTATCTCAATTAGTTGCTTAGTGCCTTTCCATTGCTGAGGCTGGCTTTGAACTCTAGATCCTCCTGCCTCAGCCTCCCAAGCTTCTGGGATTACAAGCATGTGTCAGCACACTCAGCACACTTTCTTCTTTAAATCAGTGTCTTTTATCCCTATTGATAGCATCAACTCTCACCTAGACTTTGAACTTAGAATTGTAATTATTGTGGACTTAGTTTGACTAATACTCTGGCTATTGCTCAGAAACCACTTATTTTAACTATTGTCACTGATTATTGTCATTGATTTTGCCAGTCTTCCTTCCTGTAGTTCCTGCCTGTGTTGTTAGAAACCTTGCTTCATTTACCTATAACATCTCTATAGTTAAGGACTGTTTAGTATTTACACCATATTCTTAGTGGCACCTGGTCACTTGCTTCACACATGATCTTCTTTTAAAATTTATCAATGAATTCATAAATTCATATTTTATTCATAAATAAAATATTATTATACTATAGTAAAAGCTTTAGTTCCATTACACGACTATCTTTCCTATGCTGTATATATTATGCTGTGTACTGTGATACAAAAATAATAACTTGATGCAGCCCTCAAGTAACTTAGATGACCTAATATCTTTTATATTGCTGTCAACATGGCCCTATACTATTCACATATTACTGTTTACATGGCTTTCATAGATTTACTTATTTTATTTTATTTCTTAGGAAACTAAGTGAAATGAATTGATTCATTTCAGTTGGAACATAAGTAAGTGATCCTCACCAAATAGGATTACAAAGAGCTGAAATAGAGTAATATGATCTTATTTGACAGATTAGACGAAGATGCTGAGAATCACATAAAGAATTAAGACAATGGGATGGGTTTGATCTGTGCAGAATAGGATCTGTAGCTGAAAAGTACTGACATTCACACTTTCATTAAAAAAAAACAACACATAATTTCTCAGAATGGGAAAAAGATGAGAAAAGAGAGAAAAAAATCCATACACTGTCTGTATGTGTCAGAGTTTTGTGGAATTTATGTCTGAAGTGTCCTGGACTAGTACTGTGAATGGATAAACTGGAGAAAAAAAGAAAAGAGATGTTGAGAAGTAAATTTGTGTGTAATGAAATGATTCTTCTCTAATGTTCTTTAAGAGACACAATTAAGTGTTGCAATTCCTTTTTAATTACTTGTGAGCATTGGCCCATTTTTTAATACATGCAAATCTCGGCAGCACCTTGGTTACTCAGGCCTTAGAATTTATAAAGGCTATGTATATTTTATTTCATTTATAATGTCATTTCTTTTTCCATTCCAGCCGATTTCAGAATGAGAGACACCTTAAAAATCAGAATTTCGTCATATTAGTAGGAAAAGGTGATTATCAATCTGAGCTTGTTATATTTGCAAAAGGTAACTTAACTTGTGGTCCTTAATTTATTTAATTAGTGTTTTTATTTATATATGACAATGGAATGCAGTATAATTTTTATTACACATACAGAGCACAATCTTTCATATCTATGATTGTATACAAAGTATACTCACTCCAATTCATGTCTTCATACATGTACTTTGGATGATAATGACCATCATATTCCACCATCATTTCTACCCCATGTCCCCCCTTTCCCCTCCAACTCCTCTGCCCTGTCTAAAGTTCGTCTATTCCTCCCATGCTTCCTACCCCACTACAAATCAGCCTCTTTATATCAGAGAAAACATTGGGCATTTGTTTTGGGGAAATTGACTAATTTCACTTAGCATTATCTTCTCTAACTCCATCCATTTATCTGCAAATGCCATGTTTATTCTCTTTTATTTGCTGAGAAATATTCTATTGTATATAAATGTTACATTTCTTTTATCCATTCATCTATTGAAGGGCATCTAGGTTGGTTCTACAGTTTAGCTCTTGTGAATTGTGCTGCTATAAACATTGATGTGGCTGTGTCCCTGTAGTATGCTGTTTTTAAGTCCTTTGGTTATAGACCAAGGAGAGGTATAGCTGTGTCATATGGTGGTTCCATTCCCAATTTTCCAAGAAATCTCCATACTGCTTTCCATATTGGGTGCACCAATTTGCAGTCCCGCCAGCAGTGTGTGAGTGTACCTTTTTCCCCACATCCTCACCAACACTTATTGATGTTTGTCTTCATAATAGCTGCCATTCTGACAGGAGTCAGATAAAATCTTAGAGTAATTTTGATTTGCATTTCTCTAATTGCTAGTGATGATGAACAATTTTTCATATATTTGTTGATTGTTTGTATATCATCTTCTGAGAAGTGTCTGTTCAGGTCTTTAGCCCATTTATTAACTGGGTTTTTTGGGGTTTTTTGGTGTTTAACTTTTTGAGTTCTTTATATACCCTAGAGATTAGTGCTCTACCTGATATGTGAGGGGTAAAAATTTGCTCCCAAGATGTAGGCTCTCAATTCACCTCACAGATTGCTTCCTTTACTGAGAAGAAACTTTTTAGTTTGAATCCATTCCATTTATTAATTCTTGATTTTATTTCTTGTGCCAAAGGAGTCTTATCAAGAAAGTTTCAGTCTAATATCACATGATGAAGATTGGGGCCTATTTTTCTTCTATTAGACACAGGGTCTCTGGTTGTATTTTTAAGTTCTTGATCCATTTTGAGTTGAGTTTGTGCATGGTGACAGATAGGAGTTTAATTTTATTTTGTTGATTTCCAGTTTTCCCAGCACCATTTGTTGAAGAGGCTATCTTTTCTCCAGTGCATGTTCTTTGCACCTTTGTCTAATATAAGATAGCTGTAGTTTTGTGGGTTAGTCTCTGTGTCCTCTATTCTATACCATTGGCTTATCAGTCTGTTTTGGTGCCAATACCATGCTGTTTTTGTTACTATTGCTCTGTAGTATGGTTTATGGTCTGATATAGTGATGTGTGGCACTTAATTTTGCATACTGACCCTGAAGTCCTTAATTGGCCCCACATCTTGATTGAGTCTTTAAACAGACTTCTAAGGTTCTCACTTTCCTTAGAGCATTTGTTTTAGAAAACTTTCAATTGTAACTTCTTTTTCTGCCCCTTTGAGATGCAAATCTTCTAGCTTCTTGCCAGTTTTTGAGTCCAAGGCTGTCTTTCTTAGGAATGTGGGAGCATTTTCTTTGAAAATTATTTGTCATGGAAGATAGGTGCCACTATCACTTGGTCGATGAGGGAAAGTAGAAATCCAACTTTCATTGGTATCTAAGTACAAGTTGTAAAAGTACTTTCTATCATAAGCTATACTTTTCCTTTGGTAAAGGCTGGTTAACAAACATGGTGACTTAGGGTCCTTCCCATCCAAGTTCTTAAAAATCCCTCCACCTCTTATTTTCTTCAGCACAAATTGAGTTATGGTCTCTTGCCTACTAAGAAGCCTTAAATAGTTTTCTTTTGGGCTTAACTTTGTCAGGTGTACTTTTTCTTTGATTAAAAAAAATGAGAAAGAGAGGAAGGGTAAGAAAAAAAAGAAAAGGGCTAATAATAGTGACAAAATATTTAGACAGAACTGTGTAAATTTTGATTTTTTTGGTTTTGATTGTATTTACACAGATTTAGTTGTTGACACTCCAAAGTGAAGGTTTAGGAGACACTTCAGTTCCTCTGTTTTGCTATTTCAGCCTCCAGCTGACTCACCAGGAGGAAAATTCAACATCCCTTATTCTAGAGATTGCCCTTCATCTCCTTCCATGGACTCACCCATGATGATTCCAGAAAACTAGCCAAAGACATAGCTTAACGTTTTGTGGGGAATACAAGACTTTCCTTCTCAAGTTCTACATTACTAAGAAGCTCAGGTTTGTACTCTATTTTTCTCAGGATTTGCTACCTCAGGTATATTAAAAGGCTACCCACAACAATAGTACTTCTCCCTCACCAGTAGCCTCCCTTCTCACAGACCAGATGATAAGTGGAGATATCTGGACTCAGCTCTTTGAACCCATTTCTTCTCCTTGCACTGGGAAAGACCCTATTTTATTTTCCAGCCCTCTCCTCTTTCTTCCCCTTTAAAGAAAATACTTCCCTCTTCTCTATTCTTTTAGGGGTCAAAATAACTACTTAAATTATTCTTTTAATTTCCAAATCTGAAGAAATTTACTTATTTACTTGGAAGAAAGTGAAGGAAAATAAAATATCAGATCACCTATAATAGTCTGAATGTTTGTACCCCCAGAAAATTCACATTGAAACCAGTCCCCAGTAGAAGGGTGCTAGAATGCAGCATTTTTGGAAAGTAATCAGCTCATGACAGTGTAACCCTCATGAATGGAATTAATGCCATTATAAAGGAGTCCCAGGAGAGCTAGTTAGCCCCTTCCACAATGTGAGGAAACAGGGACAAAAAACCATCTGTGATCCAGTATCTCCTGGAAATTTGAGCTTGGATTTTCCAGCCTGCAGAACTGCAAACAGTAAATTGCTCTTGTTTACAAGCTGCCCAGTACATAATATTTTTATTATGGCAGCCTAAGCAGCTAGGACACCATTCTTTTGAAACAATGTGTTGGCCTCTCTTGATAGGGGTGAAGGAAAAGCTCAACCTGATAAATCTTTTTTTTTTAAATTCACTTGTAAACATTATATATTTTAGTAATAAAAACAACAGAAAATACATATTTGATACTTAAGTAGTAAACATTGGCCTAAGGCTTCTCAGTTCTATAAATATAAAGAGAAATTTTATTTGAAAAGAAATTTTAAAGAGAGAATCTATTCATCACATTAGAATATGCTTACTCATATCATCACATCCATTGTTTGGAACATAACCATGTTCAATGCCACACACAAGATTTGCCTCTCTTCTGAAAACAATGTTATTATGATGGATGTTGACTATAATCAAATAATTTATATTACCTCACTGTAATTGCACACACAAATTAATACATGGGTACCCACCAAAGGGAACTTATATATCCTTAAAGGACAATTATTTTATTTACTTGTTAGATGAAAGTAAATAATTTTTTATATTATTAAATTACTCTGTTTTTAGATTATATCTAAATATATTTGAGAGAAAACCACCTTGTAACTTTATCTTCTAGAGGATTTGAAATTTATCTTGTTAGATTTTGCTTTTGAATAATGCATTTCTTTTAACTGATGCTCTCGTCTTGCTTTGTCCATTCCTTGGCCAAGGCCCCTTTTACAAATCATCCTACTCAGCTATGAGGAACAGCTTCTGCAGAATGGCAGTCTGCCAAGACTCCAGTGCATTGACCTATCACACATGGGGACAGCACCTACCTTTATTCAGACTTAGGCACACACAGTCTGAGTTCTGTAGGGATTTTTGCCATGAACTCTGTATGTCTTCATGACTTTGAAAACTAAACTTTCTGCCTCTTTTCCTAGGCTAGGATTCTAATTTAGGTATAATGGGATTTGAACCTCCCTCAAGCCTTTTAAAATATTCAAGGGAGGCATAAAAGAAATAGCAGAGAGACATTCACTTTTTATTACTCTGTATGATGGGGATATTGTATTGCATACATACTAATGTAAATTCCTCTAAAATATATAATTTCCACCCTTTTATTCTCTCATTGTTCCCTTTCCACAATCAATTTGGATTCCTGAGACCTTACACAACTGAACTAAATAGCTTTCCAAACCTGATGTGTCTTGGTCTTTTGAATTCAGTAACTGCACACTAGATAGAAGCTATAAGTAATAAATTTCTCTTTGTGACTCTTCCTGACAACAAGAAAAAAACATTAATTTAACTTCTCTGGTTGAACTTGAACCAAGGCCTGAAAAATAGATAAGTGACTGAAACTATTTACTTTACTACTCCTACTCTATAACCCTCACAGGGAAATAAAATATTGACAGTATCCTAAAACTTAGTTGAAAGAAGAGCTTTCATATTTGAGAAAAAATTATAGATATGACTTTAAAATTTAGAAATATTCCTTTTCAGCTTCTGCTTGGCTTCTATCTTTCTCTATATTTAGTCTTGCTCCACTTAAAGCTAAATTGGAAGAAGTATTTTAATTTTAGAATCAATTTTGTCCTTCATTTTATAATTCAAAACTGCAGAATATGCATTTCAATCATTCTGCAAAATGAAATGCCATGGTAAGATTTCAGATTCAAAATATTACTATGACTACCTTGACAGATTCCTGGTCCTTTCCACCCACCATACTGGTAAATATTGCCCAGAAATCCAGGACAGAGAAGCCACTGTGACAATTATTTTGATTGGAAGTATAGGAAATGGAAGATGTGCATTATTTATGCTGACCATAGGGACAACACGGTGTAATTGAGTTACGATAATACTCCCTCATCATGTGAGCAGATGCTAAGAAGTAACATGTTCAATTACTATTTGAATACATTATCTCATTCTCTGCCCTTAATAAAATATCCTAGTCTGACAATTTCAAAATGACTTGAAACTTTGATGGACTACAGCCAGCAATCATAGAAATTTTAAAAGTTGTCATAATTAGAATCAGTTAATCTTCTTCACAGTATTAATAAAAAATGACTGAGTCTAGAATCTTTACAAATAAATGAATATTTTTTTGAATATGATAGTCTGGAAAATTCAGAAATAATCAGAGGTAATTATTTTTATCTCATTAATTTCAATGCTAGTTTTCTGATGCCTGTTCTGGTGTGTCTTTATACAGTGCCTAAAACCACAATCATACAATGCTGCAAAGCAATTATGAGCTTTAGGTAAAGATAAGAGCTAAATAAAATAGAGACCTATGCTTTATTCTAGGAGAAAAATTAATTTGTTTTTAATGCAATTATGTCAATTAAGTAATGATTATGTTTCAAATCTTGCTACAATTTATTGGGTTTTTTTGGGGGGGAGGTACCAGGGATTGAACTCAGGGAATGTGACCACTGAGCCACACTCCCAGCCCTACTTTGTATTTTATTTAGAGACAGGGTATCACTGAGTTGCTTAGGGCCTTGCTTTTTGTTGAGGCTGGCTTTGAACTCATAATCCTCCTGTCTCACCCTGCCAAACTGCTGGGATTACAGGTGTGAGCCATTATACATGGCCAATTTAAGGATCTAAATAAATGTGTTGAGATGTAAATAATGGAAAAAAGTTAAACAGTTCATATATTTCAAGGACCAAAAAACTTAACAATCACAAAATATACATGCAGATAACACTTTTGACTAGTGATACAGAGGAATGTCCTATAAAAACTGTATAAAAGCCTATGAACCTCAATACATATTTAAAAGTTATTCTCCCTGGTATCATGAATCTATCCATCCCTTTCATTTGTACAAATATCCTTGGGATGCTTGACCTTTTTAGAAGAGGGCAGCTGATAGATCATGTAGAAAATCGTTCAATAGGTGCTCTATGAAAAAAAATCCCCTATTTCTTTGAAACTTTATATACTAATATTTCAATTGGCAGAGTGAGCTTTTTTTTCCTTATGTGATGGGAAGGAGTTGAATAACTTTATTTAATAACTTCAGGCTCTCTGCTTATATAGGAAAAATACAATTACTATCAATAAAAAGGAATCTGGCAAACCCACAAGTCTGTTTAAAGAGTTTCTTGATGCAGAAGTGCTCAAACCTTGAAGGGATGGTCACACTTCATCTCAAATTTCTGACCAAGTATTTGCTATTATCTTTAGTAGACCAAACATTCTTAATTGCCTAAAGGATAGAAATTCCGTTGTTGAAAAAAAGACAGAAAAAGCATTTGTGTCTTCAGGGAAACCTCCTTCTTGAAACTCTTTCTCCTTTCATCTGCTGTTTCTGCCATTTCTAGCATTTATCTATACATATTTCCAGCCTGTGGCTTTCTTCTGCTTTAATCCCTTGAAGTTTTCCCCAAACTCCATTAGTCCACAAGAAAAAAGGGAATTTCATCAACTTTAGATTTCAAAATATTTTATTTTTGGGTGACATGAAGCCATGCCCAGCATCACACTCAAATACTCAATAAATCAATGCCAGAATAAACATGTCCAAAAAGCATTTTAATTTTTCCCAAGAAAAATTTATAAATTTCACATATTAATTTTAATGAAAGACACCACCATATTATAATAATAGATGTTTACATTTTAAACTTTCATTTAAATTCTAAATTTTAGCCTGATTCCATGTTATGTATCATCTACATACAAAATGTCTCTCTCTCTTATGCTTCTATTCTGGGCATTTTTGATTATGTAATCTAGTCATACACATTAGAATGTCATGTAAGTTTTTTTACTGCTATCTTCCATCACTTTAGTTCTTACTAAATATAATTCAAAATAAATCCTCCTAAATTGATATTATTTTCATTTTCCTGTGATTAAATACTTTTGTAGCATCTCATTGATATGACACTGATTGCAACTTTCTCAAATTTTGTAGTTATGTGTGGTCATTTTAATTTGAATGTTATTTAACTACTTTATGCCTCAGTTCCCTTATTTGTAAAAGAGCAGTAATAATAAAGATGTAAGGAAGATTAAAAATAGACACACATAAAAACATAAACACACAGATATACATATAGCCATCCCTCTGTATTTTCCCTAAATGGTACAGTATAACAACTATTTGTATAATGTAATTATTGTATTAAGCACTGTAAGTAATCTATAGATGATTTAAACTATTCATGTATGTGTGTACATTATAGGTAAATACAAGTCCATCTTATATAAAGGAATAAGTTATAATTAATTAATTAATTGATTTTTGCATAATATTTTATCTATAATTCTTACCTCACTTTTTAAAGTAATTTGAAATTTGACTTTAAGAAATTTTATCATTAATAATTTATAACCTACAGAAA